CAACATTTTCAAATATTTCCTATTGTGTGTTTTAAATTCACCCAAGTAGAAACAACGTAGAATGAGGAAGTTAAAGAAAAAATTAGAATGCTCAATAAATTTCACTGCAAATTATCGCTTAATTGTACAGTTTTGTTAAAAATAATAAGTTGATATTTTCTGACCCCTTATAATCTATATGGCCAGCTCGTCTGCTAGGCATTTCCTCTCCATCTTGTTTAACACAGAGCCTGAATTAATGAACCCAGTGATTTAAATCATATTTACATCTAGAATTACAATCAAAACATTATTCATTTTACACTGAATTTTCCTTCCTAATGGTAGGAATTTCGCATTAGCAAAGGAACAAATTATTTTGGACTCATGGCTAATTAAATATTGACTTTAGTGCATCTAAATTATTACTCATTTTACAGAAAAGATTACAATTAGACATTATTATGCACAATATAGCTTGGAAGTAAGATTAAAACCCCATTCCATTTTCACTTACTTCCTTCTAACAGCTTTATAGGGGAAGTACCTCTCTTTCCATGCAGTTTAAAGGGTTTTGGGGGTGAATATCCCAAGATTTTTTCCTGATGGGAAAGGCAGGAGGCCAAGGGTCATTCCTATGGTGATATCTGAGTGCCTAAAGAAGTAGGAAGAGTCCCACCTCAAAGTTCCTTTAACAAGTGATGAATATCTCAAAGCTAAAAATTCACAAAAGATCTGTTATGGGATTAAACTTGACCTAAGCAACTAGCTAAAGCAGTTTTGCCAACTCTACCTGGGGGTGGCCTGACGCATATCCCCCCGTGGGCCAACTCTTGCTCCTGCATTTCTCTGCCCACCTACTTCCTTGCTCACCTGACATCTATTTTTAGGCATGTAGGCCATGACTGTAAAGCAAGGACTGCTTCACAGCATGACATCACTGCTGATTATCTTCAATTAACATTGTTCTGCTGTTGCTTCATCTATTCTGTCTTGTCCCTCACAAGACTGCCGGGCCATTGCGACAGTCACGGCACAAGATGCCTTCTCCTTCCCACCAAGGCTCAAGAGCAGGCTGATAGTCCCTAATGTGCTTCCAGCTCTCAAGTCTGTTCCAGGACTCTGATCTCAAGAAGAGATCATTTTGGCCTGCTGACTTCAAGAGATAAGGACTTAAAACAACAAGTACATAGTACGATGCATTCTTCCTTTCTCTTTTCCAGTATTTATTTATTTATTTATTTTAAAACTGGGTCTCATTAGGTCAATGAGTTGCCTAGGCTGAGTTTGAACTTAGGGGACATTTCTTACAGTGAAAGCAGCTAAAGATACATTACATATCATATATAAGATATATAAATTTATACAAGGAAATAGATATATGTGATATATATCACATATATATGAAAAACCTATAGATGTGATATATATAACATCTATATATTTTTCAGGTGAATGGCGCAGCAAAGAAACAGGCAGAAGAAAAAAGGGAAAAAGGGCCTTATTTTCTTTGAGGACTCTGGAGAGAATGTGGGGAAGGATGAGAAATTTTTTCTCTAGACTAGACAAAGGGAGGCTGAGGCATATATATATATATATAATGTATATATTTAAATTGTGGGTAACTATCTTGATAGTTTATTTTTTAATGTACTTTCTGACAGAGGTGCACTTTGTAAATACTAATAGGATGAAAGAGAAGAAAAAAGAAGAGGCTGGTAAGATAAGGAACAGTGAAAGAGAATACAAAATGCTTAGCACTAGATTATGTACTTCCCAGGTTTCCAGAGCGAGTCCTGCATTCCAGGGGACTGCTATCTTTAAGGAAGTTGGTTTACAATTACATGTCTTTCATAAACTGCTTCTTTGGGGTCAGGGACACAGGCTCAAATTATCATTTTGTTTCCAGTTTCAACTGGAAGTCATGCTGATGGAGGCTAAGAAGAGGGGGATGTTTATGTAAGCAGTATTTGATAATGCAGGTGGTATGCAGTGTTGCCTTGTTATACACTTCCCTGGTAGCTAACTGTGAAACTACTGTTAGAAAAGAGCCCATTAAGATAAGTTACTGAAGTAAATGATAAACTCTCACTCTCCCTCCAATTTAGATTTGGCTTTGATGATTTGAAGAAGGAACATGATACGGTGTCAATCCATGGTAGCCCACAATTTCCAAACAGGAGTTTTGGGAGTCAGAGCTTTCTTAGATTGGAGTCAAGGGCTTGTCTGGAAGTAGCATTTCCTTATGAAGACCTGTTTGTACTTAAACAAGAAGCTCCTTTGGAGTGGATGAGGACCAGCAATAAAGATAAGATCATGAGGAATTCTAAGACTCCCCAACACACATTGTTGTGTTGGGCATAATGGCTCTTTTTCAAACACTGTTCCTAATTTCTATTGTAGTAGAAGAAAAAAAAAAGTAACTTCTCAAACCTGAAAAGTTTTCCATCTGCAACCTCCCATACTTCCTCTTACGGAGCTCCACACATCCTATTTTGAACAACCCTGGCATAGTTTTGCACGAGTAAGCACTGCAAGGAGAAACTTGAGAAATAAGCATCTAGAAGTTCTAATTGAATCTGACATGCTATATATGTAAACTTGGAGCTGCCTGACAGTCTGCTGAGCTGTATTTCTTACGTCAAATGTCAAAAAGCTTGCCTGCCTGACAATCCCCACCATAATTGCCTGCCAGCAAGGCCTGTGTTAGTTGTTCCTTGGGTCTAGTCACCAAGCCCCTGTTAGAACACCATATTGGAATAAGAACATACATTATTTTCCATGAATAACCTAGTATACATTTTATTACCCCATCACCTAGTCAGTCTCCTGTCAGATCTCAAGGGAGTGAGACATTAAAATGAGTAAAGCTGGATACAAGTAGATGATTGAAACATTGCAGGGGACCAGGCATATCTTAGCATGTGCAGGGCTCTGGTTTCAGTCTTCAGCACCCAAACCAAAACAAAACACAAAATAGAAAAAAGCAAATCTGTAGTGTGCAAGAGCTGAATTGAAGGCATCAACACAGAGTCAGGCAAAGGACATCAGAGGGCACTGGGTTATGGGAGGAGGACTAATAGGCAATAGAAAAATCTATTCACATAGTCACTGTTTGGACGCAACTAGCCTTATATCCTTAGCATATTAGCTGTAACTAGTGTGTAAGTAACAATAGCTTAAATAAGAAGGAAGATGATTTCTTTTCTGTCCTATAAATCCATATGCAGTTAGTTCTGAGCTAGATTTATTCTGTAGTGTCAAGAGAGCTCTCATCTGCCTCTTCCTTCTCTTCCTTTCTTTTTCTTTAGTTCATATACCATTTCTATTTCCCAGGTCATTTCATGACTCAAGAAAGGAGCTAAACCTACAGCTATTGAATTTGCATACTCACAAACAAACAGGAGGAAGTGGGGCAACAAGCCTAACCCTTTGCTTTCCTTTCCACTTGTATCTTGCTCAAGACACTTAGATATATACTCTCACATTTAACTACAGGAGAAAATGTGAATTGTGTTCTCTAAATGAGGTAGCCATGTGCATAACTAAAATTGTGGATTGTAGTTTTGACAGAAAAGAGGAGGCACTGAGAGACATGAATATCTACTCCAGGGTACCTGCTCCCATCAAAGTTGGGAGCTCGATTAGGTTTGAGCATTTCTACTGATTTTGTAGCCAGTGCTGGCCAGAAGCATATGATTTGTGTCATGAGACATGACAGTGGGAGTCTTGAGTGAACAGTGGAGCTGTCAAGGTGCCACAGAGAGCCAGGGCACATGTGGCAGTGCAGGGGTGGGGACCAAAGTGTCATGGAGCTGAGGGAGGAAGCATGGTAACCGCCTCTAGAAGCTGACCTGGCTTTTGGGTGAGCACCCAGACATCCTCTGGGAACTCAGATGTATCTGTGGATGGGAAAGGAGGTTTGTTTCAGAGCAGGGTCTGACATTAGTCGTCCGGGAGACAGCAAGTGAAATATTGGCTACAAAAACTAACTTCAGTAAGTCGTGATTTACAAAGAGGTTCTTGCTGTGTATTTAGGACCTTTAGGGGCAGAACACAGAATCATTTCTCTCATGAAAAATGTGTGTCTTCTCTTTGCTCTGCAAACTTGATGGTGATTTAATTATCCCCAGTTGAATATTCACAGCCGATGAGGTCCGCACAGGCCCTTTCTTATCTATGGGGAATCAACGTCAAAACCTCCACAGACTTTGTCACTGTGCATTCATGCACACTGGTATTTTATATTCTTCTATCTTTCTTCCCTTTATGCATAAAAAGTAAAGACAGAGTTATTTGAAAGTTATGTTCTAAAAGATGAAAGTTCTTGTGGTAACATTAATTTATTTCCCTATTTCCAAGTCCTAGTCTAAGATTTTGCAATTAGCAAGATAATTGAAAACTTAAAATACCATGGTCAATGAGACCAATTTAATGTTTCTTTACATGTATAAAAACCTAGATATTCTAATTCCATAGCTTTTAATACTTTATGGCTTTGTTACTGCCTTGGCAAGGGTTTAGTCTTCATATAGTTGATTGTTTATAATAGTTATGCCTACTGATATAAATTTTACTCCAACTTCACAGTAAAAGGAAAACATTCAAAAGATGAGATTAGCACTTTGCAATAGACACTACAGAAAAATGTTGGTTATTTGAATAAAATCATTCAAGATTATCAGCTTTTAATGTTTCCATTATCAGAGGGCATGGATTATAACTTTGCATCTGAAGGTGATGCCTGTGCCTTGGACCCCACATATGGCAGGTGGAAGATTGTTGGATGTCTGTCCTGATATCTATTTTATTTTATTTTAATTAATATTTTATGCTCCTGAAACCCCTTCCAGTGTGTTCCTCTTTATTCATTTTCAGAGTACAAACTTAAACTTAGATAGGTTGAATTAATCCAACACACCTCTGGCAGGTATACTCAACATGCTGTATAAAGTATAGCACTTAATTTATTATTTCTTTCTCAAGAGAGTTTTCTCCAGTCCATTAAGACCTAGCTCCTGTTACAAGGGCTTTGGTGGAGGTCGTGGGGCAGTGCCAGAAGGTCTAAATCGGGGTAGAGGAGTTTGGTCCTTACAGGTTTCATGAGATCGATTTCTGACCACTTTGCCGTGAATGGCACAACTCACACAGTAATGCAGCTTCTCATACAGCCTGGGAAGCACATAACTGTCAAAGATTCTTGCTTTGGAAATGTCCCTGATGGTGGTGGCCTCCACTATGTTCCAAATGACAAATTTCTTAATGGCCTTATCCTTCGGTACACACCAGGTGCAGTTCGTGCAGCGAATAGGCTGCACATGACCACGGCCCTTTTTGGCATGACTGTTGTTCCTTCTTTTTCTTGTCATCTTGTAAAGGAGGACCCTAAAGAGCCTGATACCTATTTTAGACTTTACTTTTGTATTGGAAGCCTGAAGGGAAAGAGATGAAAAGAGTCCCAATCTCTTTTGCAGATAGATGCAGCCATGAGACAAAGTTTGGCTTTGTGAGAGCAAGAGGAATTCTTCTAGGCTGTGAGAGAACGTTCTTTTACTTCTTCCTATCACTCAGAATGCAGCTCTTAGATGAGGACCTGATGCATGAAGACTGGTGAAACAACAGGGCAGAAAGAGCCTGGATTCCACAAGATGGGTGTCTTTGCTTTTTCTGCTGCTTTATGTAAGAGAGCAATGAAGTTCTACCTTCTTGCAGGGCACTATTTTTAGGGTTTCCTTAGTTAAGCACCATCTTAGCCTGTTTTCTGCTGTTATAACAGAAGACCCGAGGCTGAGTAGCTGATAAAGAACAAAAATGTATTCATTTGGCTCATTATTCTGCTGGTTGGGCAGTCTAAACACATTGTGTGGGCTTTAATGCTTCATCGTATTGTGACTGCATATACATACATGCACAAGAAAAACAGAAGGAGAGAGAAGTGAGGACTGAATTTACCCACTTATCCAGAGCTCACTGCTGATGTAACTGACCTGCTCTGTGGTAATAACATTAATCCATTCAGGAAGGTAGAGCCCGCGTGACCAAATCACCACTTAATGGTGTCATTGCTTCATTTCAACCTGAGTTTTAGAGGGGACCCTCTAGCTGGCACACAAGGTGGAGTCTAACAGATGGGCTGGGACTAACAAATGAGGCTTTGAGAATAAAAATCAGAGATGGCAAGATCCAGGAGTCCCCTAGATGATGCAGGTAGATCCATTTGGGATTGCACAGCCTCACACCGCTCTGCAGTACCAAGGAGTGTTCTTCAACTATGTATCCTCTGCAGATGCTGCATACTCCTTCAGTCAGTATGTAAAAGCTATGGCTAAAACAATTTGCACTGGAAGAAGTATATAAAATGAAGTTATGTGGGTGTGGTTCAGCTAAACTGGAGCCTGAACTGGGAGGAACATTGGAGAGCAAGAATTTGAGGTTGGTTTGGGAAGTGTAAGACACCATTTCCAAAAGGAAGAAGGGGAGGGGAAGAGAAGAAGAAGAAGGGGAAGAAAGAAAAGGCAGAGAAAGAAGTAGGTGTCTTGTTTGAGATAGTGGAACAAATGACCTCTGGTTCATGAGCCAAAAAAGCATGAAAAATTCACCTTAAAAATGTTATAATATATGGAACTAACTCATGCATACACTCCTAGCTCAAAAATTAATTTTAATTCTTGAAGGGTGTACATACTTCAAAGTGATTTGAATGTATTAAATTCAGATTCATATGTGTTAAAATGTTCTTAAAACTACACTTAAAACTGAGTACCTACAATTCAGCTGTGGGGTATGTGGTATACACCTATGGGCCTGACATGATGATGGTAATATGATGGGTGATGTGTCACCTGAGGAATGGATGAAAAAGATGTGGTATTTTTATACAATGGAGTATTACTCAACTATAAAGAATGGTAAACTCTAGGCCTTTATATTTAAGTGGATGCCACTTGAATATATACTCATAAGTGAAATAAAGCAGACCCACATATGTAAATATCATATAGTATCCCTAGTGTAAGAACTCAAAACAAGAAATAAAAATAGAAAGATATAACACAATTAAAAGGAAAGTGAGAACTTAAGGATTAAACAATGAAGAGAGGGCAAGAAGAAAAGCTAGGAAACATAACAGGGGCAAAACCATACATTTATAAGCACAAGATGGTTAAGGCAATGATCCTGAGAATCTTCAGCAGATTTTTGAAACTAGCAGTTAATTGGTAGGATTCTCACCCTGACTAACTATATATGCTGATACTTGTGAAGTAAGCAACTGCACTGAATAGCAATGTGTAATATACTAGGGCCATGCTTGGAATGCCTGTCATTCTGGTCTTCTAAATACATACTGCTTGTCATGTCATACCAATTACTGCTATACTGTCTCTCAAGTAAGTGTTTGTCTAAAAAAAACGGTAATAAATGAAAACAAGATATAAGAAAAAAAGTCATAGGACTGTCCAGCTACAATACTGTATATGGTTAGATTTCTAAATTTCTGTGTAAAAATATATAATTGTTTTCCAATTTTTTAAAAATATTTTAAATTTTTTTCTTTTTTTCCTTCACATTCTGTAGGAATTAAGTTTGCCATATAAATACTTGATGGAAAATACCTATTCCATGATATTTCTAAGATGTTTGATATTCAGACAATAGTGAGATTAAACTCAACTGTCTATGTTGTAGGGTAATGTTAATAAGCTTCTCTTCTGGAGAGTTAACAACTAAAGTTTGCAAAACAAGAATTAGAGAAAAAGAAGGGCTACAAGGACAGCCAACATTTTGGCCCTAGCCTTTCAAGGTCAGTGAGGACTCAGGACATAGGAGAACCTGTACTGTAACATCCTGTAACTCAGTGATGTCCCAAATTTTCTGATCATGGAACTTATGGGGCCACAGAAGAAAGTGATCAACAATGTAGAGTGTACCTAAGGAGAGTCACATAGAGAGAAAACGTTCTCTCAGATTTTCACAGAGAGCAAATTGATCAAGCAATGGCCGTGACTCATTCACATGACTGATACTGACAAAGGATCTAAAACCTGTGGTACAAGGTTCCAGGCTAAATCCTGAGGGGATTTGACTGACCTTGTCAGATACAAAAGTTACATTTCTTGTTATATAGATCTTGCTTTATCTTGGTCTTAACCATCCAGCAAAAAAGTATAATAATGAGGTATGAAAAATAAAGCCATATTAATAAGCTGAACTATAGAGGGCTCAAGACAACAACTTCTGACATTGCCAGTCCTACAGATAACCTACTGCTATTATGGACAAATGGAGTATATTGGATTATTTTGCTGAATTCACGCACCTACAATATTTAAATGGCAATGGAATACCCTTCTCTGACAAAACTGAACAAAAGAAGAGGGATATAAATGAAGGATCATTTTATATCTGTATATACAAAATAGTTAGGATAGATATACAGGTATTTTCTCTTAATTCAATGAGAAAAAAGATTTGTACTAATAGTGTTGGGATGAATATCATGTCTGCATCTTGTACTATGAATAACCACTACGAAGATAACAATATGCAAGGTACTAATTATTGAAATTGTCCTACTAATTCGTTTTGAAACTGTCTCATTGCTATTTGCTTCTCAAAAAGGTTAATAAAAAATATGATGGGTGATATTTTAAAGTTGCTCCTCACTTATATATGGAATACAGCAGGGAGCTGATGAAACTCACTCCTTCTCTCTTGCCCATGAGGTTGTTTGGGGGGCGGTGAGGATGGGGCTAGTAAATCAAATAACATATACACCTTATTCACCTCCATATTGTAAAGTTTTCTATCTTTTTCTTTCTTCCCAAACCAGTATAGTACATGTACTCTCTCTCAGTATGGAGAATAAAGCAGATATCTGTAAAATCCAAAGGAATGATTCTCTAGTGGTGAAATGCTAGACACCTTGACAAAGAGGCATGTAAACAGCCAACTACTACAGCCTGGCTCTGCCCAAATATCTTGAAGTGGAGGTGGTATTCAGCTGTATCTAGTGAAAATAGTTAAGACCTGGGCACATACAAGCCTAAATTCTTTATATAACAAAGTATTTAAGTTGTTTTTCCAGAATCTACTCTTAGACAGGCTGAACCAGCTTTTCAAGAATGGACAAATGCAGAAGCCAGTTTGTCCCGTCAATGACCTTTCGATATCACAAGTTCAAAATTCCCCTTGCACAACCTGGTAACTTGTCCCAAAAAGAAACACGGTCACTGATGCAGAGGCAAGGTGACCATCTAAATAGTGACCAATGCCTGGAACTGCCAAAAGAATGCTAACAGTCACTTCCACTGTCATGGATTCCATCTTCGCACACTATTTCAGTGGAAGAAATTTGATGAAGATACTACGGTCAAAAAGCCAGCTCCTTGGGGCTGAGATAGCAAGCAGTAGAGTCTTCAGAATGATCCTGCCCAGTAGATCATTCTGGGAGAAGAGGTTGTTTTCTCAGTGTTCTCCACTCTGGGTGACTGCTGAATACCTGCATGTGGATACTGTGACCCAGTAACCAGATCTTTACATTTTTTGAATGTTAAGTAACACCAATGGTTCCATTTGGCTATTCAGTAGACATCTTTATTTCTATCCATTATAAATGTGCCTGACAAGCAAACACTTCAAATCATGTCAAAAGAAGTACACAGAGTCAGCTAGTGAAAATGCTGTCAAAGTCAGTGGTCATGCACAAGAAGTGACAGCAGTGAATTAAAGCTGAGCACAGTGGACCAACCAGGGAAAGTAGCGACCAGGCCAGACTGAGAAGCTACAGGCAGAGTACCCGCAAGATGGGCTGGCTGTTTCCCTCAACTGGGCTTGGAGCCTTTGCCTATAGATGTATCTTTTGGTGCTCTGAATTTTTCTACTTGATTGCTTTGGGTTTTTTTAGAAGGTCCACACCTAAAAACCAGAGGATAAAGTAATAACTCGAGGGTAGAAGTTTTAAGAGCATGTATGCAAAGTCTCAGTAGGTTATGCTATGTTGACACTAATCTGTTGATACTAAATACCAAAATAGATATTTAAATACTCTCCTCCCTTAATACAGTTATCCCTTGTTATCCAAGGGGATTGTTTCCAGGATTATTTCTTCCCCAGTACCAGGACACCAAAGTCAGAAGACACTCAAGCTCCAGTACTTACTACACACACCTTACTATCAGTGATAGACCTAGACCTATAAGTTTAGATGACTTATGATATCTAATACACGAATAATTGTTATGTCATGTTGTTATGGAATAGTAACTAGAAAAATGAGTCCATGCGTGCTTGGTTCAAGCACAATTTTTAAACAATTTTTTTCAATCTGTAGTTTATTGACTTTAAAGATTCAACTACATGTAGTTTTTGC